TCCCACCCTAAGCACTGCCCTCCCTGCAGCTCCCATTGGCTGGGAACCATGGCCAATAGGAGTTGCAAGGGCAGTGCCTGTGGATGGGGTGGTAACTGCCTGCCTGGGCCTCCATGTAGGTGCTGGCAGGGAGATATACTGCTGCTGCTTCTGGAAGCTCTTGAGGAAGTAAGTGCAGCATAGAGCCTGCACTGCTGAGTCCCACCCCACCATGCCCCAACTCTGTTCCCCAGCCCCAATCTCCCTACTGCCCTCTGAATCCCTAAGTCCCATCTCCATACAATTTCCATGGCCTGATGTGGCCCGTGGGCCAAAGAGTTTTCCAGTTGCAGCGTAGACATTCCCCATAGGGATGGGAGGAGTACTTCTTCCCTTTGTTTGTGTGCACACACGCACGCATCCACAGAGACACTTTGTCTTTCACACAAGTAGTAGCACATCCACAGTAATACTTTGTGGTTGCATTCACATTTTGTTTTTCTCCATGTTTTGCAGAGGTTGACGAGAAACACCCATTGAGAACTAAGATGGGGCAAACTGGTCTGGTGTGTGTGAACAAACACACAGAAAATAATTTGCTTATGCGAGAAGAGGCAGGTGAATTACCTGGACAAATAGTTATTTTATCTTTATGGCATTTTTCCAAGTGACCAGAATGTATCTGGGAGACGATTACGTGAAATGGAATATGTTTTTCTCTTCAAGTTTCCTTTTGGCTTGAACTCAACATCTGAAGCGGGGAAAGCAAATACACTTAGATAAGTTAAAGCAGGAAGTTCAGATTAGTCCACAGGTCCCCACCTGTGGGGTGGCCTCCCCCTAGGGAGGTTTAGAGGAAAGTTTGGGGAGGGACTTGGCAGGACCCAGGCCAGCCCCCGTGGAAGGCAGGGAGAAAGTTTCACCCAGTCCTTCTCCACTTCCACTTCTGCTCCAGCCTTGGCCTGAGCCCCAGCTCCTGACTTCATTCCCAGCATTGGCCAAGGCCACTTCCAGAGCTATGATTCTTGTCCCAGCCCTGGTCTTGGCCCCCTTTCTATTCTCGGCAACTCCCCCCACAACCTCTGAGGAGATGCAGCCACACTTCCAACCTCTGCTCCAAGGGGTTGGGGGAACAGACAGGAATAAGAGGGACATGACCCTGAAAAGTTTGGGAACCACTGGTCTAGTGGGTAGGGAGCCGGGTTCAATGCCTGGGTCTCCTGCAGATTTCTAGTGTGATCTCCGCCAGGCCACCTGGTGCCTCAGGTCCCCATTTGCAGAATGGGGATAGTTCTTCCCTGCCTCACACGGGTGTTGAGTGCACAAAGCCCATCAGTGCATGGAAGCTGTCAAGTACTGTGTTGATGAGGCCATAAAAATACAGCCATCCTCAGCCCCGGGTCCCAGGTGTGCTCTGGATGTTTGCATCTCCTGGCCTTACTCCACGCCCTGGTGACATCCCTAGTTCAGAGCGCAGCACTTGGGGAGGACTCCACGCTGTATTTCTGAGCAGGGCTGTGGAACAACAGAGGTAACTAGTAACCAGTTACGAATGGTCCATTCCAGGTTTGACATGAGACCCAGGGTGTGCTGCAACGGGACCTCTGGGGTTTCTAACCTATGATGTGTGCCGCTCAGGGATGAGCTCAAGAAAGCCGATAATTATCTACCAGCAGGTCTTAGCACCAAGTCCTTACTCATGCTTTACTCACCAGTGGTACACCTCCCATGGGACTCCCTGGGAATTCCGACTAGAGATTTCACAGGAAGTACATCAGGGAAAGTAAACTCTCAAAAGCCTGAGGCTTCACAGATACCTGCATATCTCTTGGGGTGATAAAGCAGAAACCTCTTGTGCGGTGTTGCCAGGGGCACTAACAGCTACCACTGTGCAAGTTCAAACTATAAAGAAAGGTCTTGTGTGTCAGACAGTAGTTGACAGGTCCAAGACCAGCAGTTGACAAACAGTCCTTACCTAGCACACATGAGTAGCTGTGCCCAGTCAGAGCGAGGCAAGAAAGTGTTGCCTGTGTATCCAGGCTTTCATACACCCTATGACTGTATGGGGTGGGGGTGGTTTCAGATAGGGGACAAAAGCTACACAATGGCCAAAAGTGGTCAATACACCTCATAACAGTTACTGTGGAAAATTTCAACACCACACAGCTCTTTCTCAGCAAGCATATTTAGTCATAAGGTGAAACCATTATTGAAAAAAAAACGTATTAACCATCATTCTACATGCATGCTAAAAAGCTTACTGAAGGTCACTGCCCCTCCAGGCTCAGGCACTAGTAAGCGTCAGCTTTTCAAATCCCACATATGGGTTTTTCCTGTGCTTACACTTTCTTAATTGTCTCAGAGACAGCACCTTTCCCCCCATGGCTCATTTAGACTTTTCATCATGCAGCCTGGGCCTTCGAGTTTGGCCCCATGCGATGGGAGATCAGCAGAGAGCGGCCCACACTTCATGGTGTAGCTTCAAAAGGCTGGGGTTTTACATAACCAGCAGTGGGGGAATTTGCATTCATCTTCTAGACCTGTGGTGGTCCACCAGTTCTGAAGCAATTGCCACTATAGTGGCTACTGCAACTGTGAATTAGCCACCCTCAACCAGTCAAATAGCCACATTGTTCAAGCCAATTAGTCACATTCAACTGGTCAACTAGCCACATGTGGCTAGCATGTTGGATGCCACATTCTGGACAGACCCAAGGAAAACCAGATAACACTTTGGCTTGCGAAAATGCGTTCTCGGCTGGCACATTGTTCAATAATATCCTTTGGGCCCCGAAGCTCACATCTTCCCCACCGCCTTGAGGTTACATTCCCATCCCTGCGCACAGTAATGCATACACCTTTCATCTAGTGCAGTGGACCCCAAAGATACTTGAAGGCAATAAGGTTGCCCAAGGATGTTTCAGGAAATTGCTGCATCTGTCACAGAGACCTGCCCACAGGTACTTACAGAAAGCAATGATACTGGACAGCAGGCAAAGACATAACAAGGTCCAGTGCCTGGTAGCTGGAAGGTTACAAAATTTAAACTTGAATGTGGGGGCAGGTTCTGCTTGGCCAAGCACACTGAGGAATGAGGTAAAGGCTGTGTCACTTGGACTCTTTCAGTCAGGCTCAGCCATCTTTCTAAAAGCTATGTTCTTATTCCCCCACGAGGAGTTGTGCTAGATGCTGCAGGAATCCCTGAGTGAAATTCTGTGGCCTGCCTTACCCAGGAGGTCAGATTAAGGGCTCATAAAGGTCCCAACTGGCTTTAATCTCTATGAAGATATTCCCTTGCTTCAGCATCCTTTTAATGCCAATGAACCCTATGGGCTGATTATGTCCCATGTTAAGAGGTGTTTACATCTACTTTCTCAGACATGGCCGCCTTTCCGCCATCTTTTGGACCAATGCTTCTCACCCTGTCACACATCACTTGCGCTCCCATTCTGTCACTGACACAACTGTCAGGAGCCAAAATTCTGATCTGCATCACTCTTACCAACAGTGTCCCCATTAAGGACTGTAGTGTAGTGTGTCCTCATTTATTGTGCTTGTTGCTTATTTTGGCAATTTCCTATTTTATCTTGTGGTGAGGCACTGGCCTGAGACCCAGGAGATATGGGGGCCACCCTCCTCTGTATGACTATGGGCAAGTCATTTAATTGCTCTGTGCCTCAGTTTCCAACCTGTAAAATGGGAATAACAACACATTACCCTTGTTTTGACTTGTCTGTTTTTTATTGTAAGCTCTTCAAGAGTAGGAACTGCCCTAGCACATTGGGACCCTGATCTTGGCTTAGGTCTCTCTGAACTACTTTACTACATATAATAACTTTGAAAGGCTACCCTTCTGTGTTGATCTTTAATAGGGTGCCAGGGGTATTCTATTTCATTCCTTCTATAGTTGCTCTTCTTAGGTAACGTCTGCCTTCAACTTTCCCTAACGAAAACTGCTCTCCCATACTAGTTAAATCATAAATCATCAGTGCAAAACATACTGCTTGTATTAAACTAGATATACAGAAATCAACATCAGCCAGGCATGGCAGCATCAGAGGAAACAGTTTGGAATCTCACACTCCCAATCATTATGTTAGGGGCTTCCATCTTTTAACAAAGGATGTCGTCCCATCAGTTTCTTTGTGTGAGTCTGTGAATCTGACCCCCCCTCCCACCGCCTCCCCCCCACACACATTCATTCGCTGGTGAGAGAACAGGAAGCTCTGCATTGCCCTCAACATGCTCATATTATGTACAGTTTTGCATTGTGATGACTATAATCACATCTCATGCTTCAAGGCTTTAGTTGATCACCTGAAGGGGTCAGGAAGGATTTCTTTCCCCCAGTGCACAATTGGCTAGAGGTAATCCAGGGCAGGAGAAGAGGGTGAAGTTGAGGCAAGTGGGGTTTTTTCCTTCCTCTGGTGCCTCAAGGATTGGCCAGAGGAGGAAACCAGACAACAGCAGAGCTGCAGTATTGCTCTGAGGTGGTACATGGTCTTTTTCCCTGGACCTGGTTGGTGCGCCTTGCTCACCTGCAGGGTCAAACCGATTGCCATTTTCTGGATCAGAAAGGAATTTTCTCTCTGGGGAAACTGGTGGGAACCTCTTCTCTGTCTCAGGGCCTGGTTTGCCTGCTGGAGTCATCTAGGCAGCTCTCACAGAATCAGTTCCCTGCTAGCCTTGAGCATAGGCCTGGCCTGGTCTTTGCCTGTGGAGCACAACAGTTTAGCTTTCTGAGGAGTTAAAATTCCTTTAATCGGACACAAATGATTGCGCTCCAGAGCGGGGCAAGAGTGCGGAATGGAATGGCCTGTGATATGCAGGGGACTAGATGATCTAATGACTCCTTCTAGTCTTAGAGGCCATGAAATTACAGGTTGGTGTTGCCCTTTTAAGAGGGGACAGGTGAAATGTTGTCATGGTGGAGGTGTGGCTCAAGGATATAATCTGCATATTTTAGTGTAAATGCCTTAAAAACATTTCCTGGAGGCACAGGGTGGCTTGATCTATTAGGACACAGTAAGTGCAGCAACTTGCTATGGAAAAGCTGGAGGAAGTTTTGAAACCCTGCATTTAAAACCCAGCCACGCCAGAGTTGAAAGATTTACAGAGGGAAGTGTGTGCCTCCGGCTAGGAAGAACACTTATTTATGGAAGCTGGCTCCAAAAGCAGCAATGCAGCTAGTGCTTTAAAGTGAAAATAGCCGACTATTTAACACTAGACAAGCGGGAAGAGACATTTCCCCCTCCCCCCCCCAAGGTTCTGATCTTTCTCAGGTAAGAAACTTTCACTCAGAAATCAAAGCCAAGTCCCGTCTAGGTGGGGTGGGATTGTTTGAATGTTTGTGCATCAGGTCCAGAGAGCTGTGGGGTTTTGCTGTGATGCAGACTGTTATCCGAAGGCCTGGTGAGCAGCTGTGTATCTCCTATACCTGCCCCACCTATGGCCCCTATCTCCTTTGCTGAGGAATTCTGCCAGGTTTCTCACTGAGTCATGTAATCGTTTTGTATTATCGCTGTCCCACAAAATGAATCGCTCAGGCTAGTGCATTATTTTGGCGGGGGTTGTGGGGAATGTATCACTTATACAGCGCTTCATGTTTTCAAAGTGACTTACAATTATTAATCAGTTCACCTTTCTGACACCCCAGGAAATACAGAAGATTCTAGCGCTTGTACCGGAGCAAATAAGTTTAGAAATGTTTGGGGGTAGGAGACAGGAGGGGGAGCAAACCTGCACTTTTGGTAAGAGTTATAGGAGGATGTCTTGGAAGGATTAAAAAATGGATAAAAATGTCACACTCGGCTCACTCATTCCTTCAGCTATAAAAGCTACAGTGTGGTGTGTAGTAGGATAGACATTTGCAGATTGCAGTGTCTTCCATGATGCAGCCAGCAGAAGATACCTTATGCACAGAGAAATGAGCCTACTGGGTATGTGTTTGAGGTGCTGCTCTTTTGTAGCTGTGAAACAAGGCATATCTGCTGGACCTAAGGGTGCTGCCACACCCCCTGGCTTGAAATGGTTTCTACCCTACACAGAATTTACAGTGTGGGTCAATGGCTCTCCGAACCTCCACTATGCAAATTCTTCCAGCATAGCTGAAGCAAGGACGGGTAGCTCAGTGGTTTGAACACTGGCTTGCTAAATCCAGGGTTGTGAGTTCAATCCTTGAGGGGACCATTTAGGGATCTCAGGCAAAATCTGTCAGGGATGGTACTTGGTCTTGCCCATGAGGGCAGGGGACTGGACTCAATAACCTCTCAAGGTCCCTTTCAGCTCTATGAGATAGGTATATGTCCATATATTATATTATTATTAAAGGGGCTTTTTCTCAGAACCTCCACAATAGCACTGAGAGAGAGCTATCTGTGTATTTAACAGTGAACCATCCAGCCAGTGTGGTAGCACTAGAGCATCATTAAAAAAGGTAGAGCCATCAGTTAACATTCATTTGCCAGACACTTTCTTTGCGATAGCCTTCATTTAGGGTTCTGATGGGCACCTCACTTTCAAACAGTCTGAAACAGTACAGGCCGTGGGGTTGTTGCCATGTCAGTTGCAGCCCAGAATATGAGTTAGATGAGGTTGATGAGGTAATAGCTTTTCTTGGACCAACTTCTGTAGTTGAGAGACACACTTTTGGACCACATGGAGCTCCTCTTCTGATCTGCGAAAGGCACTCCAAGCCTCACTGGGATGCGTTTCCTGGACCTGGGGAAGAGTTTTGTATACACTCCAAAGCTTGTCTCTTTCACTGACAGCAGTGGGTCCAATACACGATATATTACCTCACCTGCCTTGTCTCTTTCTTGAAAGATGGGTTGCTAAAGGATTGGTTCCTCCTTGTATTTAGCTGTGGCGTTCTGGCTACGTTTCCCAGACCTGAAGAGGAGCTCAAAAGCTTTTGTCTCTCCCCAACAGAAGCTGGTCCTGTAAATGATATTACCTCACCAACTTTGTCTCTGACAGAGTCTATGCATGGCATTAGGACAATAAGTGGCCTGAGGGCTGAACGTGGTTTGCCAGGGTCAGCCCCTGGCAGGTTGTCTCACAGCCACTTGCAGCTTCCCCTGGCTGGGAATGGCGAACTGTGGCCAATGAGAGCTGTGAGCGGCCGTACCTGTGGACGTGCAGGTAGATAAAGTGTTTGGCGGCCTGCCAGAGCCTAACCCTGGTTGACAACGTGTGGCCCATGGGTCGCTTATTGCCCACCCCTGAATTAGGGCCTCATCCGGTGCCAACTGAAGTCAATGACTTGGCTTTCACTTTTACAGGTCCTAGAAGCTAACATACCTCCCATCTCTCTCTCCTGTCATCTGATCTAGTTACCTGCCTTCCAGCCCCTAACCTCCCCTATAACATGCTAATTAGACTCATCACTTCACTGCATAAAAGCCAGCTCTGCAGCAGCTTTTCAGCAGTGCAAAGCAGCACTGGGTCAGGAAGTACAGACAGAGTTATTTGAGATAATTAAGACTCTGGCCTTCACAGTTGAGCAGACATTTCCAACCTAGAATGAAGCTCTGTTCTCTTTCTAAAGTCTCTCCCAGACAGTGCATTTTGGACACTTATAAATGGTTAACAATTAGGAATAGACGGTATAAGCCTATTACAGATATGAGTAGCAAGTGTAATAGATGGTTATAATCACCTTAAGGAAAGATGAATAAGCTATACAATAAGCAGCCTATTGTCCAGTGGACTCTGTAACACTCTATAACAAATAATTAATCGTTTATTAAAACATTTATTCATCAATTATTAATCCTTTATAAATATACCTCAGTAAAGTGTTGACCTAATTTTCAATGTTTCTAAAATTCAATCTTTTTTCCATCTTTATATTTCCTTCTAACTAATATAATTGACATTTATCATCTTTTTAAAATATCATGGTTCATTCCCCCCCTTCCAGACTCTGGCTGACTCTCTCCAAACTATTTTCTTTTCTAATTTGGCCTTTTGGTCTCTTATCTATTTTTACCTTCAGCGTTCACCCCCTCTGCCAACTTTTCTCACCTCCATTGCCTCTCTTCCTTCTCTAAGCCTGGCAGGATGGGAAACGGCATATTGGCCCTGTGCCTGGAAGCAACGTGGAATGTGTTTGCAAGGGTGACTGAATGAATTTCTTTGTCACCCTCTGGGGGACACCACCCAGCTCACAGTAATGTCAAAAAGAGCCTTCCACTGATTTCACATCCCAAATGTGTCTGAGCCCACAGCTCTGCAGCATTAGTGAAGACTCTAAGCTTCATCTCCCCAGCTAGCAGAAGAGCCTTGTGATTTCCTCAGTAACAAACCAGCCCTTTGGGACCTGTTTCCTCTGCCCGTGAGGCAGTAGAATGTGAGAGGGGGGCTAATACTTTTTGCGGAAGCTGGGTAAAAGAACCTCATGATTATTTTCATTGAAGAGTGACACCAACAAGGGTTATATAATGGGGGTTAGGTTGCACAGAACACACTGGCGGTGTTGTTCTCGAGCAGCAACAAAGGGCTTAAGAAAGAGGGCTTAAGCGCACAGATGTGCAATTCCTTTTTGTATGAGTGCAGGCTGTTCCTACCTGCTGGGTAGAATTTCAAAGCATGTTATTAATAGTGATTAGCAATTAGAGAGCTCATTATGTCTTTAAAAGAGCTTACCCAGTGGGAAGTAATCCCTACAGCATTCCTGTGAGGTAGGTGGTGGTGTCCCCTTTTTTTACCGTCGCAAGGAAGAGTGAAGGACTTAACTCCCTTAGGCTTCTGTGACAATCCCACCTTTAACACCTGGCTACTTCCCAAGGAGACGAGGACATCAGTGATAAGGTGGCTTGCACTGCTGCTGCTCCTGCTAATCCCCACTACGTGTAGAAATAGAGGATGGCACTGTCCGTCTGGTCCTTTCCCCTGCATTATTAGAACCTCTAGCGAAATCCAGTTTGCATCTGTTTCTGAGGCACAGGAAAAGCAGGCAGCATTGCAACACAACAGCACAATCTTTTTTCCTGCATCCACAGTGCGTGTGTGTAATGAGGAACCAGCCCCTATTGGGACTTCATCTGGAGGTACGCTCCGGTTAGAATCACACGAAAGTCTCCCCTAAGCAGCAGGTAGCTCTTTTGCCAGCCAGAGCAGAACATATTTTTGTCGTATCCTCCTCCCCCATTCCCTTTCTAAGTGGTTAAAAAAAGGCAAAAAAAGCTAACATCCCTGAGCATCACAATGGCATAGCACCTCCTCTAAGTCGGTGCCCAGGGCGACTGCCCGGCTCACCCACTCCTCCAATGAGCCCAGCGGCTAAGACTCAGTAGCAGAACTGCACAGAGGAGGGAAATTTCATTTTGCAAAGGATTTGCGGGTTTCTACCTCTGGCTTTGTTCTGACACTCAGCAAAACCAGAAAATTTCAAAATACTTCATGAAGGAAAATTCTGAAACATTTTGTTTTTCATTTTGATTTGCCCCCTTAAATGCTTTGAATTTATCATAACATGAACTACAAAAAAATTGAAATGAAAAGTAACTTCATAAAGAAAAATGTAAACTTTCCCTTTCAAAAACAGCAAAGCTGTGTGGGTTCACTGTGGCTGGAACTTAATTTTCTTCCAAAGCAAAGTTCTGGTGAAATCAACCAGATTCAGTGACACATTTAGATTTCAAAAGAACTACGCTCTGTCTCTTTGGAATAAGTTAGCAAGTCACCATTCATACTGCCTCTCATTAGGCTACCGGATTCCTTTTTTACCTTCCCGAGTGAACACAAACCTACAGAATGGTAGATGTTCCGCAGACAATGATTTCTGCTCTGATAATACCTTTCACTTGAGGATCTCAAATTGCTTTACAAACGTTGATTCAAAATCTTCCATTTACCCCCACAAAGGTGCATGTTCATTATCTTACCTGTTTTATTAGATTCATTGGACTTTTCAGAAGTAGTGACTGACCTTTGCTAATTTTAATAAATTGACCTGTGACAGCACTTCTAAGTTTTGTATCTATATACACAGCAAGAGGAGTTGGGGCGGGCGGAGGGGAGGGAAGGGGGAGGAGGAAGAGAGGTTGACCTTTCTGATCAGCATCCTCCAAAACTAACACAATTTCAACTGCCCTCACTACCACCAGTCTTGCCTTGAAAGCTCATTACTAAGACAGGCTTGTGTTTGATGGCTCATTACTAAGACAGGATTTTAACTGTCTTGTAGGTTGGAAAGTGAAATCAAAGTCTTCTCCATCGTCCCCTTTGGGAAGCCAACGAGAGCTAAAGATGGCCACTCAGGAAAAAGAAGTATCAAGTGCCATTGACCTGGAGGAAATAGGCACGGAGATGCAACCCAAGAAAGGTTGGTTCACATAAGACGGACTGTGGGTGGTGGACATCACACCTCAGTGAGGAGGGACTGTCGGGGGCGGGGATGAGTGTGCCTTCTCCAGCCTGCCCTGTGCTTCCCCCGCTTAGAGCCCTAGTGCCTGCATTCTTGGTGAGTAGGTGTCTGCTGGACTAAACACACAGCGCATGGTCAGCCTATGAACTCCTTGCCAGAGGAGGTTGTGAAGACCAGGACTTTAACAGGGTTCAGGAAAGAGCTAGATAGATTCATGGAGGCTAGGCCCATCAATGGCTATTAGCCAGGGTGTGTAGGAATGGTATCCCTAGCCTCTATCAAAGACTGGGAATGGGTGCCAGGAGAGGGATCACTTGAAGACTCCCTGTGCTATTCACTCCCTCTGGGGCGCTTGGCATTGGCCACTGTCGGCAGAAAGGATACTGGGCTAGATGGACCTTTGGTCTGACCTGGTATGGCCGTTCTTGTGTTCTTATGTTCTCTCAACAACTACTTAATTCATAGCCAGGAAAAATGCCCCACAGATGATGCAATCTGATCATTTGTGTGCGTTTATCCTATACCATACAGATTTCACCCAGTAGACCAGCATTTCTCAAATCAGAGGTTCTGACCCAAAAGGGAATTGCTTGGGGGAGGAGGGTGTCGCAAGGTTATTTTAGGGGGGGGAGTCACTGTATTGCCACCCTTACTTCTGTGCTGCCTTTAGAGCTGGGTACCCTGCACAGACTGCAACACCCCACCAGTAGCAATGCAGAAGTAAAGGTGGCAATACCATATCAGGCCACTCTTACTTCTGCCTTGTTGATGGTGGCTCTGCCTTCAGTGCTGGGCTCTGACTGAGCAGCTGCCACTGTCCCACTGCCCAGCTCTGAAGGCAGTGCCACCGTCAAGAGCAGCTCAGAAGTGAGGTAGCAGTACCACCACCCCTCCTCCAATAACCTTGCAACCCACCCTCCCCCCGACTCCTTTTTGGGTTGGGGCCCCTATAATAACAACATTGTGACATTTCATATTTAAATGGCTGAAGTCATGACATTGAGGATTTTAAAAATTCGGTGACGCTGAAACTGACCAAAATGGACCATGAATTTGGTAGGGTCCTGGTTTTAGCTACTCAGGAAGTGAATTTTACCCTCATATAGTTTAAAGGTATATTGCAGCACTTAAGCTTATTTTAAAGCAATTTATGCAAGAAAAGCTAGAGACCAATCCTCAGCTGTGTCATGCTTATGCTGAAGGTAGAAAAGGAAAGTTGGTACTAAGCTCTTTGGAGTGCACCTGACCTATAGCACTGGTGTTGTAGGGTGATTGGGGCTATTAAAATAACAAAGATGACTGGGCTGCATGAGATGTAGCTTCCTCCCACTCTGAAATGCCTGCTGTGCTAGGGAAAGTAGCATTATCCCAACTATTCCAGCTAGGGAACAGAAACCAGAGACTGTAATGACTTGCCCAGGGTAACTCAGGAAATCTGACATGACCTGGGAAAATAACCCAGGGCTCTAGCATCCCAGTGCAGTTCTCTAACCTGAAGCCTTTCTTCCTTGGTCTTCTAGACTATACATACACGCCTCAGTGTAATATATGAAAAAGCACTGGATGAAAGACCCCCTTCCTTTCATGTACATTCTGTACGCTCACTGATTATCTGCCACCTCTCTAGTCTCTCTCTCTCTCTCTCTCTCTCTCTTGTTTTGTTGACTCTCAAGTGTGCAGTCACAGTAGCTTCTAGGGGCTAGATATAACCCTAGCGTTGCCTTGCTGATAGAACATATCTGGCACTGATGGCATTTCCTATATGTTTCCGTCTATTACACAATAACAAAAAATGCCACGGATGGACGTAGGATTGATCTCTGTTCTAACACTCTCTTTCTCTTTACTGTTTAGAACAGAAGACGTTTACAGTGGAAGAAGCTGTGGAAACCATTGGGTTTGGACGGTTTCATATAGCGCTCTTCCTGATCATGGGCAGTACTGGTGTAGGTTTCATGTTTACTACCTTGAACCTAAAAATCCTATTTCAGTGCCCTTATCAGTAGGGAATAGGAATCATAGACTTTAGTCTTACTTCTGACCTCATCTTTTATTCACCATGGATTTAACAGGTTGCCTGGGAGTACATGGGGTCAGCATTTGTCAGCAATTGTTATTCTTAGTTCGCCTTCCTTTCTGCTTTGTGCAATAAGCCATCCTGGAAAACATGGAAACACTGTAGCTGTCTGCTAGGATCAGACCGGACCGTGACTGTGCCCAAAGATTTATAATTTGAGCTAAAAAAGTGACTCCACTAGCTGAATAACCAGCAGGCCATTATCTTTACTGTTGCCTGCCACTAATGGGTGACATGATCAGCCAGTTCCATGATTGCTTCATAACATTCCAGGTTGGTGGGTGGCTCTGGAGGGTGTACATGTTCTGTTCTAAATGAATGCCCTGACTTTTGGTCATCTGGATTTCCAGCCCTACTACAAGTGGGATTTTTTCCCCAATATGCAGTGGAATGGTTCACTGTGCTAATGTTGGCATGTTTGCTCCTGAAGGTGGTAGAAGCCATGGAGATCATGCTAATAGCTGTTGTTTCTCCACTCATCCGTTGTGAGTGGCAACTTCACGACTGGCAGGTGGCTTTAGTGACAACGGTATGTGGCTTTTATAACCCGTTAAGCTTGAACTCTGTTAACAGTGCATGGGGAAGGAGCAGCATGGGTTCGTTTTAAACACACATTTCAGCAGACCAAAAGATGATGCTCAAACGCTATGGAGACATACAAGTACTCAGAAAATTCTAACCTAATATACACTCATTTTATTTATTTATAGGCTCTTCCACAGGGCTCTTCTCTATAGTATCTGAACATATCATAGATGTGAATTAATTTTATCTCACAACAGCCCTTTGAGGGAGGGACAAATCATCATCATTTTACAAATGTGGAAACCAAGGGAAAAAAGAAAGAATAAATGAATAGCCCAGAGTCACGCAACAAGCATGTGACACGGTCAAGGTCAGAATCCAGCTCTTCTGAGTTCAGGGCCTCTCCTTCTTAAAGATTTGTCAAGTATCGGGTCCCAGACTGAAATAGTAGAGGATACTACAGTTCTGGATTAAGCCACCTTGGGAAAGCTGTGAATGAGACACCATATACATGGCTCAAGTCACAGTTATGAATCTCTCCATTTCAGGACTATTAAGTTCAACCACGAATTTAGGAGCAGTGCCACATAATACACAGGAGGTGTGGGAAAATCCTTGCTGATTAACCACAACAATGTTTTAATCCCTCTTAGATGGTGTTTTTTGGCTACATGGTGTTCAGTGTATTCTTTGGATTCTTAGCTGACAGATATGGTCGCTGGAAGGTAAGTGAAAGTTCTGGAGTATTCCATTCTTGCTGCTTTTAACAGTGGAGCCAGCCTGGCAAAACTCTCATCGTAATAACAAGGTTAGCACTGGTGAACTTTAACCACATCACTCAATCAGTCTTTGCACCATCCCTATGAGGAGGCTATTGTTCATGTCTCCTTGTACATATATACCTGTCCAGGGCTGCATAATGAATCAATGGCAGGACTGGGATGAGAATTTAGTAAATTTTCATACAGGTTCTCCTCCAGGTAAGCCTCTGAAACTTAAACAAAGAACATGGCAGGCACCACTAGATCGCTCACAAACTATTTCAAGGGATATTACCCTATTCCTAGGCACTCCACATCCCAGAGTTAGAACTGGGTCAGGAAGCTGAGCTCTTGTGTCGCCTCACAATAGGCAGCCAGACTATATGACAATGAACACTTGTGACAGAGGGTAGAGAAGTTGCACGGTGGTTGGTTGTTGGAAGGGTGCAAACGTATTCAAAGGTTTATGGAACCTTGGTCCCTTTTGCTTCCCTTTGAGTTTGATCTAAAGCCCTTTGAAAGACTCCTCTTGGATCTGGGTATTTGAAGAGGTCCATGTAGAAGACTGGAGCCATCTGAGTTATAGGGGGGAGGGATAGCTCAGTGGTTTAAGCATTGGTTTACTAAACCCATGGTTGTGCATTCAATCCTTGAGGGGGCCATTTAGGGATCTGGGGAAAATCTGTCAGGGATGGTACTTGGTCCTTCTGCAAGGGTAGGGGACTGGACTCAATGACCTCTCAAGGTCCCATCCAGCTCTGAGATGGTATATCTCCATATTTCTAATAGGGGAGAAAACCTGGCCCAACTCTATTTATTTAGCAACTCTCTCGGGCTATATCTGTGCAAAAGCATTTGTAGTTGGATTTCTGGTGGTGGTAATGTGCTAAGCTGGCAGGAGAGAGAACTCTTCTATCAGCTTAATAACTCCTACCTCCAAAGTAACCTCTAGTTTAGATAAGGTCTCCAAGACTGAGGCTTTGAATTTCCATTTGGGGTCAGCTGACCTGTGCTTTATTTATGTCCAAAGTCAGCAAAACATTAAATTCTGCTTGAAATCTGTCATGACCAGGGATGTTATCCTGAACTGGACCCTAATTTTAAAATTTTCCTTTCTAATCTTCCCCTTACAGATTCTACTGATCTCTTTCTTATGGGGGGCCTATTTCTCCTTGCTGACGTCATTTTCCCCATCGTACATCTGGTTTGTTTTCCTCCGGGCCATGGTGGGATGCGGTGTGTCAGGCCATGCACAAGGGTAAAGTATTGTAAACAATAGGAAAATAGAACGAAGAGCACCTTTTCATGGGAGCAGATCAGCTGAATTCTACCCATGTCTCATGCGACTAAGTGTCAGATTTAATAAGTAACAGAGCTGGTTGGAAAAAATATATTCTCATTTTATGCTCCCCAAAAATTGTTATGATAATTTCCCAACTAGTGTACGTGAGTGAAAGACTTACTGGCAATCTGGTTCATGTGCCTTTTTTCCAGGGCAATGAGGAAAAGACCTATAGCAGTGGTTCCCAATCTTTTTTTATACCAGGGACCAGCAAACCCATTCACTAACTTTTGGTGGACCAGTAACATTTTCTTGGCATGCTTGCATATTCATTAGTGCCTGCCTTGTCCCCCTCACCTAGCCCTGTGCTGCCTCCCAGCTGAGCACTGCTCCCCGGGTTGCGGCTGCTCTAAGGCTGCCATGCTGGGCTCCGCACAGCTCTCCAGCCACCCAGCAAAGTGCTCTTCCACAGCTGGGAAGAGACCCCGCCCCTGCCCAGCACTGGTTGGCTGAAAGGCGGGGCAGGACATGCCTCTCCCAAGTGCCACGGTGGGAGTCGTGTACCCTAGCCCCTACAGCCTTGGCAGCCTGGCAGCAAGTGGTCTGCGGCCTGGCGGTTGGGAACTGCTGACCTATAATACTTAGCTCTGGGTAGCCAAACCAGAATGTACTTCGAATTTATTTAATTTTGTTAGATTTCAGCCTGTTAAAAGTGATAACATAATTCTATAAAATCATACCACTCTGCAGAGTCCGAATTCAATCCATGACATCTGGTGGGGGCGGGGATTCTCTAGTCTAACCTATATATCAGAGGACAGTCATTTCCCTCTGTATTTAGCCCATAGAGTGATGTGGAGGCAGTTTACTCCACCTCAGGTAGGAAGGGGAAACTATAAGGAGTAGACAGTCAACCAGGGATGACATAAGATGGCTGGGAATACAGGGGAAATGAGGGAAAATTCTCCCATTCACTTAAAAAAAAAAACCCTCAACCAACACCACAATGCCATGGAATCCTTTTAAACAGAGCTTTACATGACAATCCTGAAGACCCAAACAATCTAGATTAGACAGGGGCAACTAATTTACACTAAATAAATGACAATGGCTTATCAATGGTAGGTGCTGTGCAGTTACCATGGTAGGTGGGTCCCAGGACACTCGAAAGACCAGGTGGTGAGGTGATACCTGTTCTTGAACCAACTTTAGGTGGTAAGAGGGACAAGCTTTTGAGTTACATGGAGTCTTTACACTGTAACACTAACACTCACAGTATTGTCCCCGCTTCTACTCCTAACCCCCAATCAACCAAGAATAACAAAAAAAGAGCAGGAAAAAATATCTAAAAAATTAAAACAAAAGCTTCACCACAAGAACAGTTTTTATTCAGAAAAGGTAGAAATACTAGAGATTACATGAAATCCACCTCAATTTGCAATGGCTGTATATATTTTAATTTTTTATTTATTTTTTTAAAATTTTTTATTGTTTTTTTTTTGTGTGGAAGGTGCTCAGACACTATGGAGATAGGAGAGAGAGACTTTACATAATTTAGTCTTTTCCCACCAAATGGGTATCAGATGTTGTCCTCTGCTTTCTTTCATGAACATCTCGGCATGGAAATTGAGATTAAAGGCTCATGAATTCCACAAGGAATAAACACGTGGGAATTAATTCAAATAAAAAAGCTAAACACAAAAGCTGTCCAAGTGACCTAGTGTGGTGTGTTCTGCTGTAGGAAGCCTGGATTCACTCTCAGTTCCCAGGCAGAGGTTGGAAGTGGAGCTGGATAGTATTTTTCAACCCTACCATTTTCTCACGAAGAATGGGATTTTGTCAAAAATGAAATTTTTCGTAGGATAGTGTAATTTTTTAAATGATCCCTTTAGTTGTTTTGACAGGAAAGTTTGAAATGAAGTAAAACATTATATTTCAAATTGAAATACTTCATTTTAAAAAAAACTAAACTATTTTTAAAATTGTGAATTATCAGATTGGAGGAGGGTGTTTTCCCCTTTCCCATCCTTTTCTCCTTTTTACCATTGAATGTAATAGCTGAATGATGTATGTTGGGTTTTCCCCCTCACTTTTTCCTGTGTTTGGTTTGGTTTGTGTTTGGGAGCAAATCAGAAAATTCACAATTTTTCATTATTCTCCCTCGCCCTCCATTTTTCCACTGTCTCTCTTTGGAATTTTTTTTCCTCCTTCCATTTTCCTCCACTTTAACTTTTCAAACCCTATTCAATTTTGGAAAAGTTTTAGAGTGGCAAAAGAAAAAATAATCTTCTAGCTTGATTGCCCTGTAATTTTTTGAAGTTGGAGATGTTTTGAAAAACTATAGTGAGGAGGAAAGAAAAGTGAAGAACACTTTCCCACTCGCATATTATTTCTTTTTCTGAACTCAGTGGCAAAAAGGGGGGAAAGGGAAAAAGGGGGGGGAAATAATGAAAATTCAATTAAAAAAGATTTCACCAAAGGTTTTAGGGAAAATCCTGCAATTTGGAAACAAATCAGAAAATTCACATTTTTTTTTTATTATTCTCCCCTCCCCCTTTTTTCCACTGTCTCTCTCTGGGGGGAGTGCTATGCCACTAGGCACTTTGTCCTTGAGGAAAAAAGCATTCCTCTGCAGAAGCTACTCAAGGGGACTCTGTTGGCCAGGTAGCAATCAGAACTGATAATTGCAAAGGGATGCAATACAGCTCCAGGGTCTGAGAATAAGAGGGTGAAGAAACAAGCCCCTCAGGATACCTGATCAAAACCAGCCTTTCCTTAACTTGTCCTCATCTTCACAGGCCATGCACTGCGTGTGGAATCCATACAGCTCCACAGAGCCTGCCCTTAGCTATGTGCATGATGTAACAGGCCGGCACTCAGATACTTGTATCCTGAGAATGTGACCTCAAGTGTACGATTGAATTGGCATGATAGGGCCTCCTTGTTCCTGTGGGCAGATATTTGTGCAGCATGGCATGTTAACCTGGCTTGATATTTGGCAGCAATCTTTGCTGCAGGAGCAGCAACATCAAAGGATCTCTGACCCGGGGGTGGAGACACACTGTTAAAGGACCAGAGACTCTTCACTGCTTAGGGACAAACCCTCATCTGCAGTAAATGGCCACAGTTCCAGTAAAGTCAGTTGAGTGACACTCATTTACTTCAGCTAAGGCGCTGGCTTTATGGTATCCAATGAATCATGCTCACAAATGGTATGTGCATTTAGCTGCTGGGCATTCAGTTTTCAGTTGTCAGCAGTGAAAGAGCTACTGTAATTGTGTTGACTGACAGCAGAGTCTAAAATTGACTGAGCTGGCATTTCTGCTATGTGTCGATTCTCATTCGCTCTGTCATTTTTTTCAGACTTATCATAAAAACTGAATTCTTGCCTACAAAATACCGAGGGTATATGTTGCCCTTATCTCAGGTAAGATTAAGTGCAGTACAGCCCAGAATCCCATGAGATTTCCCGTGTCTGGTTCAGAAAGCGGATTTCGAGCCTGTTTTAATGTGTTCCACAATCTCTGAATACATCTTGCACACAGTGAGTGCTTCTCATTCTCAGTGTTTGCCTCAGCAAACAGCCTGCATTATTCAACATGTTTTTATGCACCGGCGTGCGGACGAAAGGCAATTTCTTTTCTGATAATTGGTGGCTCTGTCCATGGCACTGAGACATTGATTGACAGCTGACATTTGGCCTTGTGGGTGCCATGTTGATAAATGTGTTGCCTGGCCTAACAGTACCACCTCAGATGGGCTGTCAGTCAGATGCTGGGTCAGCAGCTCCATGACGTTTCAAGACAGTACCCCGTTCTGCAGCTAAAAATCGAAAGAGGAACGTGGTTCATGGCAGCAGACTGGACTCTGTCTAGCTGGAAGCAATTTTCAGTCCTCAGAATGGGGCCAATGAATCAACGCAGGCGCTTGATATTTTTGGAGAGGACTTGAAAATCGGATGTGTCTCATAATAAGAGATTAATCAGCAGGTGGTCCCGTGCTTGTCCACGATTCATGCACATCAAAAGCTCATCACAGAGGGTGGCATAATGGGCAGTTTCTGTTCAGGAAGGGCTTGGCACTAGAAAAGTGAAGGTACTGTAGGTCAGGGCTCATAGCCACTACCAGAATGGTGTGGGTGGCCAGGAATGGATCAGCTAAGGTGGTTGTGAGTTAGGCCTGAGGTGCGTTGGAACACATTGTACCGCCTAGCAAGGGCTGCTGAAAGCTGGAGCTGCTTGAAGGATTTCTTCGATGAATTTGCCACTTTTTAAAAGTGTTTCTGGAATTATCTACAAAGCGCTCATGAGACTCAGGGATTTGTCCAACTGGTCAACCTGCAGAGGGGCCAGAGCCTTCCCAAAAGTGGGGCCAGAGGCTGGAGCAGGGTTGGTGAGTCCCCCCCCTCTGCCTGGGGTGGCGTTGAAAACAGCCCCCTGCACGTGTCTCCATCCCCAGGGCAGGTGGTGAGACCCAGGTTCCCCACTTCTGTCTGTGTGGCTCTCCCAGACCCAGCTCTGGCTGAGGACAGGCCTTGGAGCAGCAGCCCAGCCACACTGCTTAGGCAGCTGTTGGGGGCCTGGGTCTCTCCACCCGCCCTGGGTGGGGAAGGGAGCTGAAAGCAGCCCCTGGCCCAGCATCTTCAACCCTTAGACATCCCACCCAGGACAGGTGATAGGGCTGCAACTTCTTGCCCACACCAGGCTTCAGCTCCAAGCTCCTCTTTGCCTCCCCACCCTGGCAGGTGTGAGGTCATGGATTCGCCACCTGCCCTGGGTTGGTCAGGAAGCCTGGAGGTGGGGACACAGTTGGGGACTGCTCTTGCCCTTCCACAGGCAGGTGGAGAGTCCACACATGCAACTCCCACAACTGCTCAGGTCCCCTGGGCCAGGGGATGGAGCTTGGTGGGGGAGCAGGAAAAGAAGGAGGTGCGCTCCAGTGAAGAGTAGATGGGCCAGGTCTGTCCACTTCAAAAAATGCGAGGGCCCTGGCCCTCTGGTTCGGTTGCCACTCGCAAACAATAGTTGTGCAAACATTGATTGGTCTTTGCCATTTTCATGGTCTTGTAGCAATGAGTATTCACTTTTCATTATTCTCCGTTTGAGCCATTGCCACCTAAGTCATTGCTTCTGTTTTCACTTATGATTTATGAAAAAGAAAAAACTTTTATTCTTTATTTTTTTATATTTTTCCCTTTCCCCAGATTACTTTAGAACAGACGGTAGCTTTTATGACTTTGTTCGCTGTTCGTTGTTGTTTAGGTTATTGTGTAAATAAAAAAAGCGTTTTTCCTAATGGTTATAAGAGAACTTCCAGGACACACATGCTTTCAGGTATTGGGACAGATTCTCCTCTGGTGTAAAATCCTTGGAAAGTCTGGCTTACTCTTGGCACTAGCATTTATAGCACTATTGACTGTCACAAACAGTCTTACAAAAATAGAAAAAGCCCATTCATATGAGTGTTTCTGAGTAAGCAAATTAAAAGGCTCATGAACAGCAAGTTCAAGAGTTGCATTTGGCATGATAAATGCATGCGGCTTTCTGTGCTCATTCACAGCTAACTAAAACTATTCTGGGCCAAGTCTCACTATAACTTACGCCCAAATCTCTCCAAACTGCAGCTCTCCTGACTGTGTCTGGGTCACATCTCTACCACGTACAACAGGTGTGGCTAGGGAAAGTTTCTCAGACAAGAATAAGACAAAAGAGGGTTAAAATATATACACCACAGCCATCGGCTCCTTTCTTGTAACCTCTTACTTTCCATTTGAAAGGTATTTTGGTTGGCAGGATCCTTATTAATTATTGGACTGGCATCAGTGATTAATCCAACCATCGGCTGGCGCTGGCTGATCAGAATTGCCTCCATTCCAGGCATCATCCTCATCCTGGCATTTAAGGTGAGAAGAACACTCTCTCCCGCCCAAAAGAGCACACTAGATCTGGAATCCCTAGGCATATTTTGCCATCAGTCGATACAGACATCAGGACCTGAAGGCCTGACCCTGTAGTACTATTTTCACCATAACCTACAGCAGCCTTCTCCTGGAGACAGGTTTTGAAGAGCCCACTCTAGCGACCAGCAAGCAGGGACCTGCAAGAGACAGCCTCTTTCTACAGATTTGCTGCTCCTTCATAGCAGCATCCTAAGACAAGGGCATCAGGTGTTCTGGATCTACACTGTGTTCTGATATTGTGGTGGTGGAGAAAAGAGGAGCATGCAAATTTAGATGAAATTAGAATGGATTAGATTATATAGAAGTTTGCAGTTTATACACTGGCAAATTTAGGAATGTTTTGCTGTCAACCTTGTAGTCAAAGCCCATTTGAATAACGCTTTACATTTTGTAAAGCTGAGAGAATAATTCACAACAAACAACATATCCATCAAAGTTAGCCTTTTAACAGGTTGCAATGTCATCATATTTATTCAGTGTAGAGCATATTTTCTCTCTCTGGACCGATGTGAATTCTCTGTGCATATTGCTATTTGAGCTATGTTGATTAGCAGTGATTGGTCAGAAAAATCACATAGCTGTTAAAATCCATTCCCTGATTGGATGATCAGCCATTCATGTCTGAGGGTATGTCTACACTGAAGGCAAAAATATGATTAGCAGGTGGAATAAACAAAATTGTTCTAGTTTATTTAGCACAGCTAAAAATAGCAGAAGACCTATGTGGCCCCGCCTCTTCCTTTCTGGCTCTGGCCTGGTCCCTATCTCTCCCCACCTGGGGGAGTGTCACTCGTCCCTTTGTGCTCCTTCCACCAGTCACCTTATAGCTTTGCTTTCCTACCCCATGCTGAAGCCCAAACTCCTACATCTTCACTGCTATTTTAGGCTTATATTATGCCTATCCAATCACATCTTTGACTGCTTATATTATGCCTATGCAATCACATCTTTGACTGCAGTGTAGACATGGCCTGAGATGAATACCTGTGCTCGCAAATATAAACTAGGATCTCTGTAAGTATCTATGTCTTGAAATTTGACGTGTCTGAACACCTCTGCTAGTGAAACTGTTCTGCCTGATTAATTAATGGAAATAACAAAAAAAATTCAAGCTGCCTGAAGTCTTCAAAGCTTTTATTAAGCTTTTATATGTTGTTCTCAACTTAAAATTCAAGTTAGGTATAGTTTAATTATTATTTTGTTTTCTCTACAGTTTAAAAAAATACATTTTCTTTTTATTGATTGGCTTATAGTGGAGATCAATTGTTCAGTTAATTCTCCAAGAACCTATTGAATATGTACAAAGAATTATTGTTATTTAAACCCCTTCTTTAGCACTGTTTGTATATTGGACCAGATCTTCGGGTTGGGTAAATCAATGTAGCTCCATGAATGCCGATGGAGCAAGACCAATTTACACCAGCTGAGAGTCTGGCTTTATATTTACAAAAGTGCATTCTTAGTGGATTGGAAAACTGAACCATGCAGCATCAAAAAGAAGGGAAATCTGATTACTCCTGACAGTCATATAACGCTCTGTCTTGCTGTTTTTCTAACCAACTTGCATTTGCAGTTCATTCCAGAGTCTGCCCGACACAACGTCGCTACTGGAAATAAGGAAGCTGCTGTTGCAACAC